ACATCTTCCAGATTTCCCTGTGTCCCACCCAGTAAGCTCCCTGTCTACAAGTTCACTGGACCTGAGGAAAGGGGGAAGCAACCCCTCTTTCTCCCCTTCTCCTCCTCCTGCAAGATAAGGCCGACGTTAGGTGTCAAGCCTAATTCTCTCTAGGACAGCCCCAATGGGCTCAGAGAAAGCCCGTCTGCTATCAGTTTTCCAAATTACTTTTGTTCCCTTAATGAAAGTGATATTCCTTTTGCTTTGGGCAAGAAGAAAAAAAGGATATAGAATGAAGTAGACAAAGGATCACACGTTTGTGTAATTGTTTAGGGAGTATTATTTAGCCAGTACTGGAGTTTAAACTCGGGGTCTTGTGCTTGCTCCTAGCCCTTTTATTGCCTTGTTTTCTTGCTTTGGTTATTTTTTCAGGTAAAGTCTCATGTATTTCTCCTCCCTGGCCATTTTGAGATGGTCACTGTTCAACCTAAGCCTCTCACCTACATGAGATTACACATGCATGCCACAATTGCTTCCACCTGTTAGTTGAGATGGGGGTGGAGGTGGGGGGGTCTCACAATCTGTTTGTTCAAATTGGTCTCCTCCTATGATGCTCCCTCTCTGTGCCTCCTCTGTTTCTGGGATTACATTTGGGAGCCACAATACCTGATGGCAGAATTACATTGTTGTTGTTGTTTCCAATTGATTCCCAGAAGGATCATTCAGCTCACCTTCACAACCTTTCCCTCAGGACACTGCCTCTCACCCCTTCCCTTCAGCCTGCCCTCTACCTCTGGTGTTTCCTGTTAAGCCCCAGCTGTAGTGTGCAGCCTCCTCCCTTTGAGGGTGTTGTCGAGGGGCCAGTGGGTGACGGTCCTGAGGACCAGTCGTGCATGTGTGGACTCCCAGGGAAAGGAAGGGGGCCTGGCCTCAACTGCGGTCATCTCTGGTGATAGGCAAACAGCTGGAGTGAAGTCAGGTTTACTGGGGCAGGGGACCACTACACATGCAATCCCCATCTATGCACTGGACAAAGAATTTCATTGGGACCTCACTCACCTTGGATGGCTTGTTGTGTATGTCATCATGGTCTTTGTTGTGATTTGAGAATCTTTCCACACATGTACACACACACACACACACACACGTGCTCACACGGGCTCTTCCAACTCCAACCATAGCCTCCTCCAAACACTGGTTTCAGAAAACTCTTTCTCTCCAATTGGCCATCCATCCCAGCCCCCATTTCTCTTCTTACTGTTACCCAGGGATGAAAAACACCCATTGGACTCGATGCACCTCGCTGTGGCATGTAGAGATTTTTGATTTTCCTGAACTCTGCTCAATTGATTCCTGCACCTTGTCATTCCGGAGTCTTAATGTAAACGCTTTCATTGAGACAGGAAGGAAATGTTCAAAGTAAACAAACAAAAGCTTCCATCAGCCTTAAGTGCTCCACTCCATGAAGCACCAAAGGCAGCAGCTTCTGGACCCGTAGGGCCTAAGGTTCCTCTGCTTCACTGGGGGCCAGTGGTGTGCCCTTGGCATCTTCCCATCTGCCTAGGGGCCACCATGAGGCCAGGCACCTACTAGCCTGGCAAAGATGCATATTCTCTAAGAGCAACTGTCCTGAGCACTTTCCCCTTGTCTTCTGTTGCTATTGTCCCTAAATTGTCCATTTCCAGTTCTTTGGCCCAACATGGTGGTCTCCTAATTTGGATCCGTGCCCACTGATGCACAAATGTATCCTCACCCTTTCTGTATCCTGCCTGAGTGGCTCTTTGCACAGCTCTGTCATCTGGCTGGCCTTCCACTTCCTTTCTCCACTCCCTTGGCCTTGCTGATGGCTGAGTCCTTACAGCAGTCTGAGTCCTTACAGGTATCCCACATCACCCCATCACCCTGGCCTTAGGCTCTGGTAATTCAGCTACACCCTGGTTTCTGTGGATGAGCAACAATTGTGTTCTAGCTCCTCTGGACTGTTTAGGTTCTCCATCACCTGTAAACTACCCAGAGTGCAAGCCAAGCCACAACTGCTTTCCAGGGATCCTCTTGCCATCTCCCACCCTGCCATCCTCTCCTCTTCTAACTCCCCTTCTCCAATCAAACCCAATTTGGGGGGTAGTGGGAGATACCTTCCCTGAAGTTTGAATCTGCCCTATATTGACAGAGTATTCTGCAACAAGTGAGAGGAGAATGGACACACTAGCTGTGCCTCCTTGATCGATGTAGGAAACCTTTCTGAGCTCCAGTTTCTCTGCCTGTAAAATATGGATAATACAATACACTTCTGTTGAGGAGGAGCTAGCCTTTGGTAACCTCCCATTGCATTGCCGAGCAACTGCTGAGTGTTCAGTGAGCATTTGTTCCCTCTCCAGCTTCAAAGTGCTCCTCTCGGGCTCAGGCATGAGTCCTCAATCCTTCCTGGGAAACATGCGTGTGTGTTCTAACAATGGAAACAAGTACAAGACATGAATATCTATTTTTTTAAGCTCAGGAATTAACCTTCAAGGTGTGGCTGTCAAAAACTCTATCGGGAGACAATCAGAAAGTTATCTCTGGGTTAGCTGGGCTTTGAGAGCCTTCAATTGGCCTAGAGAAAGTGGGAAGTTGTTCTACCTCACTGGCAAAGGCTCTACTAGCTAGCTGGGAGGAGTCCACCCAGAATGTGGGGGGGGGGAGGTCTGGCCCAGGGTTATTTTTGTTTCCATTAACATTCTCTTCTATATGTATGCTAACCTTAATCGAACACATGTGTTCTTGTTTTATTTGACCTTCCTTCATCAAAGTGTCCCTGATGATGTGAATTATGCTAGAAAGCCTTAAACCCTACAGCGAACCCCGCATTAATACCCCTGGGAAACAGGAAGTTGCACTGAGTGAGATATAAACAAATCTGGCTCTCAGGGGCTTTGCCTGACCTGGGTCAGAGGATAGCCAGTGATTCTTCTCTTGATCCAATCCCCTGCCACTCCCCCCACCCCACCCCACATTTTCCAGCCCCCCACCCTGGGACTCAGGCTGAGCAGAACCCTCCTTGTAGTCCCAAGACATTCTGCAGATAAGTGTTGTGAAACTACGCCTGTCTTTTGTTCAAAATGGTGACATGGTCGAATGTGGTCTTAGGAAAGAAAGAGATGTTACAGATTTGCCTAAATAACTAGCTATGGTTCCGGATTTAACCTCTCTACTCCTCCAGCCATCCCAATATTTGAAACTACGCATGCAGTGCAGACCGGAAGTGAGGAAGAGGAAGAGAGAAGTAACCCAAGCTACCTCCCCGAAGTCACTCTGCAAGCTGCATCACAGGGGTCCTCACCTTCCCCCGTCTCCCCCTTCTTTCTCACCCCCTGGCTGACTCCAACTGCACACATGGAAACAATTACGAACAAAGCCCGATTGTTGTATATTTGGAATTTCCCACATGGACTTCATGCTTTCTGGAACTGCCTCTTACTGTGTGTTGGGGGATGGGGACGATGCCCAGGTCTCCTCCCGCCACCCCAGCATCCCAGCTTGTCAAACTTCTTCTCTCTGTACCCTGCTTTTCACTTCCTATTAGATTAGTTTGAATAAACAGAACTCTCTTTTCCATCATTTTCAATAAACCAAGCTCTTGTCTGTGGAGAATTAAAAAAAAAAAAGCTAGTTCCCAAAGCTCACACCAAAATAGGCTGATATGGTTACAAAGGAAATGGCTATTCTGTATATAAATCCCCAAGCGAGCCATGTGGGCAGAAATACCTTAGAAGCAATCAAAAATTCTCCCAAAGTCTGGAAGCCCTTTCAATTTCTTCATAGTCATTTTCTCTGCTACGAAAATTAGCCCGTTTAGAGAGGTAGAGTGGGGGAGGGGGAAAGAGGAGGGTGAGCAATGTATCAGTTAGAAAATATTACAGAATCCTCCAATAAACACTTATGACTTAAAAAAAAGAAAATATTACAGAAAAGTTAAATTTTAGACTATTCATATCACTTGTCTGTAATTCCACCTCAACTAGAACTGGGAGATGGGTTGGAAGAATCTGAGCTCCGATGAAAAAAGATAAACTCCAATATGACTTGGTCATATAAAAGCACACATGGTAGATCACACACACACACACACATGTTTACATGACGACATGGCTGCCTAAATCTACTTGGATTCCCCTCCTCCTTTCTCACCATACTTTCTCCTTGTGGATTTCATTCACATAATTAATTATATGCATGCATTTACTTATTATGCATTGCAAACAAACAAAATAAGGAGGAGAAACGCAGATATCTATTTCTGATACATTGCCAAAGAGTAGTTTATGATTAGAATCACACACACACACACACAGCCCCCTATGTGATGTGTTACTATCTTCCCATATTTTTTCCCCCCTGTGTTCAGAAAAGAGTGAAATCAGAATGTCGGATTTCACATTAATCTCCCCACAGATGGGGATATTCTAGCGAGTCCCTGTAAGGTAAGCATGTGATCTACTGTACAGCCCAGGGCCCTGGGAGTCACGTGGTAGAGTGAATAATGCGTCTGACAGAGCTTTGATTAGACAACTGACCTGCTTAGTGTCTGCAGCCTGGGGAAACCGACTTGACATCCCTGGATCCCTCATCCCAGAGGTGTCTTTTGCCCACGCCCTGGGACGGCAACACACAGGGATAGCCGAGGAACAGAAGAGATGCTAGAACCAAACTGAAGTTACAGAACTTGAGCTGTTTGCCTCTCTCCCCATCCCCCACCTTCCAACACGCCACATCTTGCCTCACGGGGTCGAAAGGAAAATGCTTGCAGTTATTTGATATTTGGGAGGCTCTGGAAGATCATAACTTACTTTGGGGACGCTTTCAACTCTCCCTTGGCTAGCAACACAGACACACACACACACACACAGACCACACACACACACACACACACGAGAGAGAGAGAGAGAGAGAGAGAGAGAGAAAGACAGACAGACAGACAGACAGAGGGTAGAGAGGAGAGAGAGAGGGGAGAGGGGAGAGAGGAGAGAGAGAGAGCACTCTACACCATGGTGGTTCAGGCTGCAGTGGCTCCGAATAGATCTCAAAGACTTTTACTGAAAATCCCCTATGGATCTCTGAGGAGACGCAGCGTGGAAAGGGTAAGCAACTGTGGCGGGCTGGTCTTGCTCAGCACTGCCCTTAAGAAAGCAGCGATTGCTTTCATTGTGTGTGTGTGACATTACTTCTTTTACTGAGTTCTGTGTTTTGTTTTGTTTTCTCCCTGAACACTCTGAAGTTCCAAGAGCTGTAGGTAGAATGCTGTGTTGTCTGTGATTTCTGTTCTTTTTCCTGAACAGATAATGATGAGAAATCTGAGAGACCTATATAAACTGTAGATGTGGTAGGGGGCTCTTAGGAAATGGTGTCGGGGAGAGCACAAATTCTAGATTGGAATTGTCCCTCTGTAATGGATATTAAAGATAGTAGAGCCTGTCAGGATAAATCAGGACTGAAAAAGTTGACTTCTTCTGTGCTTAGGGGCATAGGAAAGGCAAGTTGGGCAGCAGATTTCCTGCGGGGAAGGGGTGGAAATGGTATCTAAAAAGGCGGTGATGATGATGACATTAAGAGGATATGGAGTGCTGGTGTTAGAGCCAGTGGGAGAGAAATCATCTTCCTCCTCCTCTTCTTGGTTCCTAGGGGTATGGTTGGTTTGTAAAACTATGAATTGGGACTGGAAATAATCTGTTAATTTCCTAAAAACCATGCTTCCTTTAAGGTAGCCCTGGCAGGGAAGATTCTATAAAATAATAAGAATTTGTCCTCTGGAGTAAGTAACATAGTTTGGGGGCCTGACTGGCATTAATGGGAAGCATTCTCCCCTTGGGCTTCATGGAAACAATGCATAGGCCCACAACGATCTCCAAAACCCTCAGGGGCCCTGCTGAAATCCTGATGAACCTTCCAGGAAGTGGTGATATCTGTGTAGACAGCTTGGGTGAACGTGCAGCCCCAAGACCTACTGAAGCAAATGGCACAAAAGGAAAAATAGATAAACAACCAGACATGGTTCTCATAGCAGAATAGACTTGTTCTGAGGGGTATGTATGTACTGCTGGAGATAGCAATACCAGGGAAACCTAACTCAAAGTTGAAATGTGTGAGGGACTGTGTCAATTTCCACCCGAAACAGATTCCTTGACTGCAAAGAGATACACTGATTTTTCTGTCATTTGAATTTTTTAAAATTCACTTCTGATTCTGGAGATATGTGGGACATAATTTTGCGATATGTTCTTTCTGTATATATTAGGTATGTCAACAAATATGTATTAAATGCCTGCTGTGCACTCTAGAACATAGAAACATAGAAACACCAGCTACAGCAAAATTTACAAATTTCTTTGGTGTGTAGTGAATGTGATGATAGGTTTCAGTAAATACTTTGGGCCTCTGTAGTAACTAAATTTATGTAATATGTTCTATTGTTAGGCTGTGTATTGGGCTAGATATGGTGGGCTTATATCCAGCTACTCAGGAGACAGAGATGGGGAAGTTATGGTTGGAGGTTAGCCTCAGCAGAAAGTTAGTAATACGTACTCCCCATCTTAACAAACGAATTAGGCATGGTGATTCACATCTGTAAGCCCAGGAGCATGGGAGATGGAAGTAGAAGGAGGAGGACCATGGTCTGAGGCTGGCTGGGCAAAATGTGCAAGACTTTATCTAAAATACAACCTAAAGCAACAGGACTAGAAGCGTGGCTCAAAGAGACAGGCCTTGCTGGGTATCTTCTATCAAAAGAAAGATAGTTGTTCACAAATACTCAGATGGAAATGTGGGCTGTGTGCCACCTGGACAACAGAGAGAAGTGAGAGAGGGGTGAGAAAGAGAGAGAGGAGAGAGGAAAGAGAGGAGAGACAGAAGAGAGGGGGGTAGAGAGAGGAAGGAGAGAGAGAAGAGAGGAAAGACAGGGTGGGGCAGGGTAGAAGAGAAAGGGAGAAAGAGAGGAGCTAGGGGCAGAGGCTAGGGAAGAGAGGAGAGAGAGAGGGGAGAATGGGGGGAAATGGGGAAGATGGAAAAGAGAGGGAGAAATGAGAGAAATGGGAGACAGGGGGAAGGGAGAAGGGGGGAGAGAGGAAGAAGATGGAAGAAAGAAGGGAAGAGGTTAAGATGGGGAGGAGGGAGAGAGAGGGGAGAGATAAGGGGATGGAGAGGGGAAGAAGGGAAAGGGAGGGAAAGGATGAGATGAGGGGGAGAGGGAGGAGAGGGAAAGGGGAGCGGGAGGGGAGAGGGAGAAGAGGGAAAGGGGAGGGGAGGGGAGAGAGAAGAGATAGAAAGACTCTGCACAGAAGCGCAACCCATCCCCATAAACTTAGTTATGCTTTCTAAATCTCCCCACAGTAAGTCATGTACATTTATATAAATGCAGATATACACGGCTACCTTTTACTCAGTTTACCCATCTCAGAAATCTAACAACCCAGGAACACAGTGTTGTGCACCATTTGCATCTGACACTACATAGGCTGACATACACAGCCTTGTGTTTCGCCTCCTGAGAGACTTTCTGCCCAGACAGACTTTCAAGAGTTCCAGCTTGATTTCCAGACTGGGGATTTGGGTCTGGGAGATCAGGGCCCTTCAGAGCAGCCTGTCCATCCTTGGATCCGGGGTGTTCCCTGTGAGCTGCCACCTCTGCCCCACCCCCAGAGGGAGAGAGTGTAATTGGAGTATTGGCTTGCCTGTCAGGGCCCATTGCTCAATCACATAGTCCAATCACACTAAGAGATTTGCATACAAGGGGGGGAGGAAAGGTAAAGTGAGAAACACTCCTGTTCTCAGGGCAGACTCTGGAGGGTGGGCTCTCAGAGTCTCTCTGAGACTGAATTGAAGCAGCCATCATCCCTATGACTTACCACAGTTGTATTGAGAGTGGGAAGGTGATAGAGGCTTGTTTTGTTCTTGTTCTGACAGTGTTCACACGTCCAGAACAAATGTCCTCCAGTGTGCTTCAGACCCAGTGACCTCACTTTACCAGCTGAGCTGTTAACAAGGGACAGAGGAGACTAGGCCTCTTGTACTGTGTGAGCATCAATAGAGGCCCAAAGCAGACAGCTCTTCTCTGCTGCCTAGGGACACCTGGTCAACCCCAAGACAGACCCTAAACCCCCAGCCCCAGCCTTGCCTGTTCTTTACTATTTAGTCCCATTATTGTCTTAGGAGATGTCGTGCATGCAGTCTGTTGCCAGGAAAAGTGCTTCTTCATGGCATTGCTGTATCCAGCTAGACCCTGGCACCTTTCTGCTCCTATCTTTCCTCTGTCTCATGAATACATTGACTTCTCTTACATGTTGCTCATGTCTTCCTGCTGCTTCCTGTTCCTGGCTTCACTACCATCATTTTCATCTGTCTATCATCTTCTTGTGGTTACAAGTCCTGTGCCTTTCAGTCCATGCCATTGTAATAATAATAATAATAACAACAGTAACAATAATAATAGTAGGCGTGATCATACCACTTGTGCACTCTAGTAATTGCATGTCTCCAGATAAATGCCTGATTGTAATCTGGACCCTGCCTACCCCTCCCTCCTCACCCCTTCCCTCACTTTAACTAGGTGTGCTGAACTCCCAACTACACATGAATGTGTTCAAAGTTCCAACAAAATGCTATGTTGGCCTAAGGGTCTCTGCACCTGCTGACATTTGCTACCTCCTCCTCCCATTCCCTTAACTTCCCATTTTTGCAATGTAGAAAATATTTCAGGATCTTTATCCCCTCTCCCAAGTCTGGATAAAGTACTCTTCCTATGGGATACCATGATGCGCCACATTTCTCTCAGGATAACACAACCTCACACTGCACTGAAACTGTGTTCATACTCCATATGGAGACAACTCCATATGGAGACAGGGAACAGCCCTGGGTCCCTGGGCTTGTGACAGGAAACAATAATATTCAATAGATATGAAAATGAATGAAATCTGGAGGTTCTTCTAACATGACATTATCGTCCATGGGGGAATTCAAGGAAGAGGTCCAAATTAAGACATCACTCAGAATGGCCTCTGTTCCCAAGCCAACTTATTTCCTGCAAGCACCATCGTTGCAGGTGGAAAATGTGTACATGTTAATACAAAAAAAATAATCTTCTTCTATTTATTCTAAACTCTCAGACAGTACCATATATCTATAAGTCAGACAGCGTGAGAACAAGCCAACCAGACTCGAATTATACATCTCTTCACTAAGTACTGTAAATTTGACAGTTTTATTGAGGTTTTAAAAAAAATGCAGCAAGAAAGCATGCTCTCTTACTGCAATTATCTGCATATTTGAGGTGAAAAGGGGTCTTTATTGTATTTTATTTTGTCCTGGAAAGACTGAAATGGTGTGGTATTTCTGGAGTGGTATTTTTAACACAGCATAAATTACACCTCTTTTTGCCCTCGCGTTGTTTAATATGTGATGTTGACATATCTCCAGGTTGACATATTTCCAGCCTATTATTTTTCAGACCATTACATTATCACAGCTGCGAAGCTGCATAACTTAAGCGTTCAGAATACAACAGCGTCTCTATAGTCGGGTGTGTGGTGCTTACATTCTGAATGTATTCATGCAGGGAAGTGTGAGACACTAGCAAAAACACATACAGCAGACGGCTTGTAGTGGATTTTTATTGCCATGGGAAGCAAATAGCCAAGAACTGTTCAGACAGATCAGTTATTATGGGGGAGGAGGGGGGTATCCTAGGGACAGTTTTGTTCTTTCTATAAATATATACCTCACTTGGAGACCAAGAATCATGGGGTATCAGAGCCTCCAACTCTCCAGTTCACCCCATGCCTTGAAGGTCACTTCCCCTATGTTGATTAGTGATAGTTATTAAGTGTGATTTTAAATGACCTGAAGTTGGGCAATTTTATTAATTGTACATGATACATACACCTTCAGTCGTGTTTGAGCCTAACATAGAATGAGATTTCATGATGGTTCAGTGTTGGGAATGATACTTACTGCTTCGGTTCCAAGATTTTCTGTCCTCTGGTGCAGGAGTAGAAAGCATGATGGGAAAGTCTTTGTTCCCATGGTCAGGACTCCTGAGGCTTCTGCATCTAGCTCCACGTGGTGGCTGTGGAGCTGAGGGTGAAAC